CTGATCTCTGGTCCTAGAGTAATATTTATGATAAGCACGATTCTCCATATAAATAGTTATATTAAAATACAATAAAAGATCATGATTAACCGTACTTATGATAGCTCATAAGGCTTAAAGTACCTAACTGAGTCCATATACTCATCGGTACTGTAAAAACAATTGTCTAGTAGGTAGTTTTATATTTTGATCGAGTGGTGGAGAATGTTATATAGATTCAGATTTAGGGAGTTTCTGCGGCTTAAAGATAACCTGTGATGACGAGTATTTAGTAAGTCAGCTGATCTGGTATTGTGGTTATGGATGTCGGAGTTTTTTAGTAAAGTATCTTTATTGCGATGTATTTCTAGCAGAACAGTATAAATACATAAAGTAGGCAGAGGCATAATACCCTCTGTATCCCAGGTTAGCCAAGATGCGTATGGCTTTTTTCTGGCATCTGAAAGCAGCAATTACGTTAGTAGAGTTTCCCCAAAGGAGTTTCCCCAAAGTGAACGTACAACATATGGGGATGGAAATGTGCATATATAATCTAAGCAAAATGTCAACGTTGCTACTTCTTCTCAATTTGTAACATAGATTTTCAATAAGGTTATACCATAACCATTTACAATCGAAAGTCATTCTGAGCATGTTAACCACTTCCGAAGGCAGTATTTCATATCATTGTCAAATATATACTTTTTTAATAAATTGATGGATTTAGCCGATTCTACGTCGTTGGAGATCATCATGAAAAAAGAGAAATGAAACTTTTTGTTTTTTACCACTTTTATTTGCAACTTACGATACTCTTCTTGTAACTCTAACATATTTTGCTAAAAGAACACAGACAATTGCGGTATTTTCCAGAATAACAATGTGAAAGTGGCATTCAGACCACATGCCAGGTTCCAATGCAAAAGATAAGTTGGACAAGATGGAGAAATCTGGAGTTTGTAAGCTTAATTGTCCAGAGCGTAAGAGTGGTTATGTGGAACAATGTTGTCGAAATTTCTTAAAACGGTATGCTGAACATGAAAGATTCTTGAGAGTAGGCAAAAATGATTCAACGTTTTCAAACCTTTCCTTGGAGTGCAACCACAAGTTCCCGAATCTAAACCATATGGAAATTTCGCACTATACAAGTAAGGGTTGAAAACTCAATTATTTCCAATCCTTGGAAAATCATTAACATGAGCATTGCGGATGTAACCTGCTAAATGATCAAATCGATCTAGTTTACTCAATGGTTTCCAAATTAGCATACCCACATTGTCACAGGTAAACAAAATTCAGGTACTTATATTATCAATTAATTTTCAGTTTATTGTATTAGTTTGAAAATATCCTTATAGGACAAAACTGCAGTAACGTTAATTGCAAATAAAAGTGGTAAAAAATATAGAAAGTTTCATTTCTCATTTTTTAGGATAATTTTTTATGCTTGTTTGTTTTATTGATTTTCAAATTATTTTTATAGGACCAATTCGTTACCTGTTGATATGTAATTTCTATGGTCAACTTCAAATTATATAGATCGTTTTCAATGATCAAAATGTTGGTATTATCAGCATAACAAGTCGCATATGTTTTGGTGATTTAACGATGAATGAAATTGGGTCACTGGCAAAAAACAGATTGAGAATTGACCCTGTGAAACACCTTGAGAAATATCCAGTGCGTTACTACAATTCTGAAGATTTACCACTTGCTTCCTACTTCCCAGATAGGATTTGGAAAGTTCAAAAGGTTGGCCTCCTAACCCATACCTTGAAAGTTTGGCGATCAACAGATCATGATCTATGCAATCAAAAGCTCAAGAGAAATCTAAAAACAGACCCATGACAATTTTTCATTATTCAGTATTTTTACTTTTTATGAATCCATTTTGATGTAGCAAGAAAAATCCATGACGAAAGAAAAAATAACATAACACTGGTGTTATCCTTGCCATTTTGAGCTTTTTGGGAAAAAGTTCATTCAGTGGAAAGATTTATTAAGAGGTTAAGTGGTAGAACAGACCTGTTTCGAAAGAGTTCTTCTTTCGTGTAATTCAATATTTATATGAAAGAAGCTGTTTCATGAGGGCTTTTTCTTCCAGTTTGTATCTGAAAGTTACTTTTTTACATGATCTACACATCATGTGTATAGTTACTTCTTTTAAAATTGATTGCTTTCTTGCTTTCTTTGGAAGATTCCCCCATTTTTTTATATCAAGATGGAGTAGTAGGAAGCCAAAAACTTTCTTCCCCAAAAAATTAGTCACTCCTAAAAATATACTCCATTCAATTCAAGACCTGTAGTGTAAGAATAGAAAACATAGGTGGCGTTAGTTTCACAAGACAAACAAAAGAAGCAATGGGATTTCTGATTAATGAAGATGACATTTATGAAAATATTATTAGAAAAATAAATTTTAAGTCAATTTTCGAATAAAGAAATTTTATACATAAGTATATATATATGTGTGTGTGTGTGTGTGTGTGTGCGCGCGTGTGTGCGTGCGGGCGTGTGTGTGTGTGTGTGTGTCACGTAGTTCTTGGGTCTTGGATTATCTTGGGATATACATATAGGGTGAAATAGATTTCTCAGTCTCAGTCAAAAAATCAAAAATTAAACTCTGCTTTACTTTGCCAAGCTTTTGCTTCTAATGTGAAGCTTCTTCAGGGCAGTAAAAATGAGCGAAAAACAATGAATTGAACATTAAATTGACGAGAAAGTTGTGCATCTATAGAATTTTTTTGTACATCCTATAGATGTAAAACTTGCTGACGCTCGTTTTGCAATAATCCCCACTCACAAAATAAAATGCCACTTTCAACAAGTGTAGGTAAAACGTGAATAACTATTTTTCCACAAAAAAGGCTTTATTAAGAAAACTTGATGATTTATGTATAGGGACATGATATATCATCTTGAAGCATTTTTCACCATCTTTCAATTTACCGAGTAATATATAGGGGGTTTCATTTGAAAAAATGAACTTTTGACTACATTTATGCACAATGGAAATAATAGTAATTTTAGCACGCCCTGTATGATATGGAGTCGATTTCTTGGTGTTATTTGGTGATTTCTTGGTGTTTGTCCAAACTATCATTAAAATATCAACTTTTCGTGAATTGAGAGTACTGATGTACTTAATTTCAATTAAGGCTATGTTTTGAACCATATTTAGCACAATTTATTTTTTATCTCGAAAACAGATCGAGGAATGTGTCCCAGTTTAGTGGATGGATTTTGGCGAGTGATAGCATGCCATATAGTTGATATAGAGATTCATTATTGAAGTGTAGGGTGCGTCTAATGTCGTGGATGGTTTTTCGGATGAGGGCCTGACTGGTGCAAACAAGAATGTGTTTGGCTGAGAAGGATTTGTCGTGATGTTTGAGTTGGAATGATTTCGGGATGACTTCGTAATCTCTGCAGGATTTGAGGAAAGTGAGATTGCAGAGTAGTTTGGATCTTCGAATGAGAAGTGAGGAATAGGTTTTGGTATGTTTTAGTATTTCTTCCCCGTAGAGGCGTACTATGTGTAAATTTTTCAAAATGTTATATACATACAAAGAGGTGTAGATCATGCAAAGAAGTAACTTTAAGATACAAACTAGAAGAAAAAGACCTTTTAAAACAACTACTTTCATATAAACATTGAATAACATGAAAGAAAAATTACTATTGAAACAACTACTTTTATACAAACATTGAATTTCAGTTTAATCTTCCCCTTGAAGATGATCACTTGGTGATTGAAACACGTATCGAGGTGTTATAATAACGGTTTAGTGTTGGAATAAAACTCCTGTAATATTCTTCGAATTATACAAAAACACTTTTTCCTGTTCAGTTTGTACTCCAAAAATTCGTTATTGAATTGATCCAGATATCATTGGCAGGATTGCTACACAATATCGTATATGAAAAAGATAATATTTCACTTACATGGAACAATGTCATCCTTAATGGTGGACATCGATGTTTTGGAATAATACACTTGTGTTATTCCCTCTCCAGCACCAATCTGGATATCAGTACAAAATAAAGTACTCAATTCATTCATAAAATTAGGACTTTATGAAACGAATGATTTGAATCTACTCATGTCATCGATGACAGTATTCTGAGGTATTAACCAACCTTTGTTTTTATGAATTTTCCTTGTGACCCCTGGGGGTCCACGAGTATATGTAAGGGGGTCCGCGGTGTCTTCTCTGGACCATACATAAATCGCTCATTAAATGCAAAAGGGCCGCAAAACGAAAAATCAGCAAACCAGTTTTATTAGAAAAATGTGATGTAAGCACACGATATTTAAAAAAATTAAAAAAGATGCATCCAATGATGTATAACACTATTATTAATCTATAAAAAAAAGAAGAAACAATACATAAATTGGTTTTTCAAATTTTGTTTTGGCTCTCCTGTAAAAAAAATATATTTGGGATTGCGTCCCTTTTGCATTTAATGAGAGAAATGCTTAATTTTTCGTAATCGCCACGCACGGTGAACGTGCGGTGAGCGAGAGCGAATGAATGATGTGAGTGAATCAAGTGCGTGCTGGCGTCGCGCCGGGCCGCGACTCTTCCCCCACCGCACTGCTCGCAAATTACGCTTACACCCGCCGCCCGCGATTAGTGCAATTGTTTTGATTTGTGTTGTGTTACGTCCGAGATTAAAATAGTAAAATTACTTTTTTCAAGATATTGTGACCTGTGAAAATGAAATGTTAGTTAAAACCAAATGACTCAGCTTTGGACGAAGCAAATGAAAAACCTTCGACTTCAAAGGTTAAACGTCGTAAGTTTTGCGACGAATACTGAGCTTTCGGTTTCACAAGTACCAATTTAAACGGGGAAGACAGATCTCAGTGCGTCATATGCTACGAAGTTTTGTCAAATGAGTCGATGAAACCGGCCAAACTCCGACGTCATTTAGAAACAAAACACCAGGAATATCGTGACAAATCAAAAGCCTTTTTCAAAGTTAAAGCCTCGCAATTGGAACAAAGCAAAAAAACAATGATAAAGACTGCTACTGGGACCAATAACGAAAGTGCTGTATTAACGTCCTACCAAGTATCTTTGCTAGTTGCAAAAAGTGGTAAGCCCCACAACATTGCTGAAGACTTAATTTTACCGTGTGCTAAAATCATGGTTTCTGCTATGTTAGGTGACAAAGCTTCAAAAGAATTGGACGTTGTATCGTTATCAAACAACACAGTGAAAAGGAGAATTGATGATTTGTCGGGAAATGTTAGAGAACAGCTGATTTTCTACGTTAAAGCAAGCAGATTTTATGCTTTGCAATTAGATGAGAGCACAGATATTAGCAATGATGCAAACTTGCTTGCATATGTTCGTTACGAACACAACAGCATAAGTGAGGATTTTTTATTTTGTTTACCTTTACCTTCGCACACTACAGGTGAAGCAATATTTGAAGTATTGAACAACTTTATGTCCACTCATGAAATTACATGGGACAAGTGTGTCGCAGTTAGCACCGACGGTGCTGGGGCTATGACCGGGACACGAACAGGGCTGCAGGCGCGCGTTAAAAAGATGAATCCAGCTATTATCTGGCATCACTGCTGCATTCATAAGGAGGCACTAGCAGCTAAAAACATTCCAGAACAATTAAAAACAGTGTCAGACGACATAGTGCAGGTGGTGAATTTTATTAAAGCTAGGCCTTTAAATTCCCGTATTTTCGGTATCATTGTGAAGAAATGGGAAGCATTCACAAGCAGTTATTATTGCACGCTGAAGTCTGTTGGTTATCTCGTGGCAAAGTTGTGACGCGTGTTTTTGAGCTGAGAGATGAGATCAGAATGTTCTTTTTGAAGAATTCTGGACACAACGTCAGCAAATATGCTGATCACTTCAATGACTTTGGATGGCTTACAATAGCAGCATATTTGGCTGATAAATTTAGTGCCCTTAACGAGTTGAACTTAAGCCTACAAGGGAGAGATACCAACATCTTCCAAGTCGATGATAGAATTGAAACGATGCTAAAAAAAACTTGACCTTTGGATAAATCGTACAATTCAAAAAAATATAATCACTTTCCAACACTGTCAGCGTTTTTGGGGTCCTCTGGTGAAGCAATATTGCCAGCACAAGTGCAAGATGAAATGGTGACACATCTCCGCACTTTGAGGTCTTCGTTTCGGGATTATTTTCCAGTACCCGACAAAAATAAAAATTGAATTTCAGACCCTTTCAACACAGATGTTTCTGATATTACTGGCTTGACAGCGGCACAGGAAAACCAATTAATAGAAATATTCTGTGATTCACCATTGAAACGCAATTTCAACGAATCTTCACTGTCAAGTTTTTGGGTAAACAAATACAGAAACAGATTACAAGTAGAATCTGATTTGAGATTACATCTTAGTAGCAACATCAACCCGAATATTCCTGATTTAGTTGCAAAAAAGCAACACCAACCTTCACATTAATTTTTTTTTCATATTTTTCATAATAAACAGTTATAATTACATCCTGTGTTTGTTTTTTTTTTGTATCTGTAATAACTAAAATAAATACCTAATCCGTTTTTTTGCTGTTTATTTTATTAAGGGGGTCCGTGAAAACTATGCTTGATTCCCTAAGGGTCCGTGGACTGAAAAAGGCTGGGAAACGCTGCCCTAGATGATAGTTCAATGCAGAAGTTGTCTATGATACCCAACTTGGTCTCCATACAATAGGGTGATAGTGTTCCATGTGAGTGAAATTTTACTTCTTTCATTTATTCTATTGTGTAGCAATTCTGTGAATGATATCCGATTCAATTCCATAACGAATGTTTGGAATACAAAAAGAATAGAGAAAAGTGTTTTTTTTTCCTATGTTTTTTACCACTTTTATCACTAACTTATTGTATAAGTTTGAGTAACTGCAGTAACGTTAGTTACAAATAAAAGTGGTAAAAAACATAGAAATTTTCATTTCTCTTTTCATTATGATCTCCTACCACGTAGTAACGGCTACATCCATCAATTTATTTAAAGTGTTTTTGTATAATTCAGTGTTCATATAAAAGTAGTTCAAATCAAATCAAATGAAAATATGATTTATTACCCAAGATCTGAACATCTGATTGGCAAAGTCTAGTAAAGTAAAACGTGTATAATATGGGACATTAAATCAACAAATATAAGCTATAAAATAATGCTTAGAGCCAAGAGCAGCGTATATGGACAGAACAATATCAAGCCCAGCTGAACAAATACAAATATAAGTACATGAATATATGATTATTGACTAAATGAAAATATATAATGCTACGTAATGAATTTTAAACGTCATTTCGTGTTGATTTCAATAACATGCCAATTACTGGATAGAGACTTGGTAGAATTCGTCCACACTATAATAGGGCCTCCCAACAAGAAATTCTTTCAATTTTTTAATGAATTTATAAACTCCACCAGATAGAATTTGACATTTTTTATGACCAAGTTAGGTCTATAATTAGTGATTTCATATACCGGAAGTACCAAACTCAACTCAAGAAACTCGGGGCACTAATACTGAAACAACAACATATCATACACAGCGGATCAGTAAACCAGATATCCAGTTCAACAAAAGAATCATTAACTTGACCAAAGTAGAGTTTAACAAAGAGGAAATTTCAACATTGTCCAAGGGAACGAAATATACACCAACAATAATTGATAAATATAGTTTGGATACGTTGCTAACAGATACAGCTATTGCATTGAAACAGACAGATAATAGAGATATAGGGGCATACAAGATAAGTGAAGTAATTCAGAACCACCCATTCTCTTTATCAAACAGTAGAGAAACAGACATAATGAAAACTATACAACAAAAAATAAGAAATAATGATCTTGTTTTCACGAAAGCCGATAAATCGAATGCCATCATTATCCTTGAACGAGAAACATATGTCGAAAAAATTTAATCAGTCATTCGAAATGAAAACCTTACTGTCATCAAGAAAGACCCAACGAAAAATAGTCAAAATGAACTGAAAAATTTTTTCTTAGATACTAAAATCATTTTCACGGAATCAGAGAAACGGAGAATCACCAACATGAACCACTCTTGCCCTAAACTATATGGCCTGATAAAAACACATAAAGAGGATAACCCCATAATACCGGTAGTTTTGTATATAAATTATCTGGTAAGAGAACTAGGAATACGTCTTAACAAGTTGTTAAAAAATATTACCAATTTCGTCCCAGCTCACAGCATTAAAAATTCACTGTGGAAAACATAAGGAACCAAACTACGCCACATAATTCAATTTTAGTTTCATTCGATGTAAAGAGGGTGTTACCCAATATACCATACAACGAGTGTAAGCCCCTCATTTTAGACATATTAGATCAAGCCAAAGTAGACCATATCACTTCCTTTGAAGTTTCAACAGCTTTCGATGTGTGCCTAAACCAGAGCTACCTACAGGTCAACAACAAATTTTATAAATAGGATTCAGGTTTACCAATGAGCTCACCCCTTAGTCCACTTTCAGCAGACATATTTATGAACAACTTGGAGACACCTATAGTAAATTCCGGCCTGGGTAAAAAACATATTCATTTTTGGTACAGATATGTAGATGATATTCTCGCCTGTTTCAGAGGTACTACACGACAGCTGAACCAATTTATGATATTCATGAATAATCTCAATAGCAACATTCAGTTCACACTCGAAACAGAGATATAGAAACAGATAAATTTCTTAGACCTGACCATTACACACAATCAGAATAAATTTGAGTTCAATGTATTCAGAAAACCTAGCTATACAACATCACCGTACCAAGCAATTCTTTCCATCCAGACAGTCATAAATTAGCAGCCTACAATTCAATGTTGCACAGAGCATTCTCACTGCCTTTGTCTACTGACAATCTAGATAGGGAAATTGATATAATAACATAGAAAGGTCATAATAATGGTTTCAACGCAGATACTATCCTGAAGTTAGTCAGAAAACAAAGCCGTAAATTTACTTACAGATTAATATACCCCCAGGTCAAACAACCAGAAATCAAGAAATGGTTAACTCTAACATATTTTGGAAAAAGAACAGAGATAATTGCGAGTTTCTTCAGAAAAAACAATGTGAAAGTGGCATTCAGACCACATGCCAGGTTTCAATGCAAAAAAATAAGTTGGACAAGATGGAGAAATCTGGAGTTTATAAGTTTAAGTGTCCGGAGTATAATAGTGTTTATGTGGGGCAATGTGGTCGATATTTCCAAATACGGTATGCTGAACATGAAATGTCCTTCAGAATAGGAAAATATGATTCGATGCTTTCAAACCATTCCACAAGTTCCCGAATCTAAACGATACAGAAATTTTGCACTATGCAAGGAAGGGTTTCAAACTGAATTATTTAGAATCCTTGGAAATTCACAAGCATAAACATTGCGGGTGCAACCTGTTAAATGATCAAATTGATTTAGTTTACTCACGGGTTTTCAAATTAGCACATCCGCATTGTAAAGTGTAAATTCAGGTACTTAATCAAGCCAAGTACCTGAATAATTACCTACAGGGGTGCTATATAAAGGCTAATGTAATAAACCATTGTTACTTATGATGCACTGTTTGGAACCTTTGGTGTAGTAATGAATATTACTGGAGTTTTTCCCAACACCAAATCGTTATTTTTAACACCTCGACACGTGTTTCGATCACCAAGTGATCATCAGTTTTGATCTTCCTCTTTGAAGATGTTAAAAAAATAACGATTTGGTGTTGGAAAAACCTCCAGTAATATTCAAACCATTGTTAGTTTAATGTATAAGTTTGAAAATGTCCTTATAGGACGAAACTGCAGTAACGTTAGTTACAAATAAAAGTGGTAAAAAACATAGAAAGTTTCAATTCTCTTTTCTTCAGTATAATATCTTATATTCAATAGGTAATATAAGATTTAACAGTCTTCAGATTCCGAAGGGCCTACTAACTGAAAAAGATTTATATGTATTTCTCATTTGTAATAAGTCAATCACAATCAGGGTGCCTGTCTGGCAAAATTGTAATGAATTGATTACCCGAAACAAAATGAACAAACAGGACATGCAGAATTCATTTTGATGTCTATGATAATATATTGAACTTTCTTTGAAACCTGCCAATCCCCTCTGGACACTCTTTTAGGACGCTCCATTTTTTATTTTTCTGCCCGGCACCGCCAATTTAAGTTTGAAAATTTCCTTATTTCAAAAATTATTCAATCTAACCCAGTTTACTTTCAGAGTTTTAACAAGATATGACTGAAATAAGACACCCCTCCAATTTCAAAATTGTATGAAGTTCAACAGACATAACCTAGGAACAAAAATTTGTAACGGCATAGTTTGATAGTTTTGTAAATGCATATCAGAAAATGCATATATTTAATTGACATTTGTCCACCTTTATACAGATGAAGAATTTTTGGGAAAGAAAGGTAACAAAAACCCTTTTTTCCCAAAAATGGGTCTCTCCTAAAAATATTAAATGTACTGTTCATACCTTATACTCGAATCAGCCTCTTTCACACGATTAGGTACAGGATGAGCAGGAGTGAAATCATTATCTTCAGAATAATTATACCTCTTCCATTTAGCATTGGTTTGTTTCATAGGTGTTACCTGGTCTTCATCTTCTTCTTCTTCTTGAGGACTTTTTCCTCGATACCTAGATTCTTCCTCGTCTTCCATCGCTTCTGCTTCATAATCTTCTTTGAACTTTTCCACTGTTTCTATATAGTCCAGTTCTGCAAAATATTCATCTCCATACGCCATTCCATCCTAAAAATTGAAACACAACAGAGACATTTTATATGTGATTCCTACTTTTTTGCTAACTTCATTAGCCATTGCTTCAGTGTGTAAAGTCCCCGCATAAATACAAATGAAGCTGCCCTGTGGAACATCGTTTAGACATCTTATTCCCCATCCTCTATTATGTGTTTTGAATACTTGAAGTTTCAGACTCATTGGGTTTTGTACAACCCTATTCAAACAAGTTGAATTGCACTTACACCTAAAAATATAAATTAAATTTGTAAATTTGTCACATGAATTTTTGAAAGATATTGATGTCTATGAGTCACCGTCTGACATGAACCCTCAAATTAACATATTTTCTTATGAATAGAAGATCGACTATTTAGAGAATAACAATCAGTAAAGTCTTATTAATGACATTACTTATATTTGCAGGTTTTTAAATCAAACTTAGTGACTTTTTTTGGTTGTTAATTATACCAATTGAAAACTGTAGTTTTATCGGTAATCAAATCTCACCACAAAAAATTGATGTGAAAAAAAAATTCATTTTATATTTTTTTCAAAAACTCAAGATCATTTTGCAACATTGAAATACCTCAATTAATTTATGGGAGATTTTTTCTGGGTATTCATCAAATGATGAATGAACTATAAA